GACAGCGTACACCATTTCGGACTTTACCCTTTCACTTCATGCTCGTAACTTGTCCCGGGCAAATGCACATTCCATGTCGTAGATGCGATCGAATCCCAAATTTACTACGACCCCAATTTCGGGAATTATTGTTCCACCGTTTTCCTTTTTGTTTTTGTTGTCCAATTTTTTTATGCTCCAAAAACTAAAACATACCGTATAACAAATCGTATAACAAACGATTTGTCACGTTTTGATATTTACATTGTGTCGATAGTCGGATATGTACACAATGGTTGTATCATGTTATGGGGATAACTATAAATTATGCACGGACAAATAATTATATAACGTAAATTTACGACTTTGGTCGTAAATTTCTTGGTAATTGTCGAATTTACGAGTTTGTTTTGCGTGTAATACTTCCGCTGTTTCTCTTTTTCGCATTTCTTTAAAGTCGGAAATTTTATTTTTAGACGATGATGTGTCATTTTTCAAATTAATTAAGTTGAATCTTGCAAGTGGCGCACTTGTGTAGTGTGTCCGGCGTCGAAGAGAGCTTTAGGTTCAACGAACGTCGATTGAACTTTCTCCAACAGATGTTATAGTTTGTATGGCCGCATAATTTAGAAAACGGACGGTGTGGTGTGTCTTGCCTTCTTCAGGTCACGAAGCAACCTGTATTCTCAATTAATTTCGGTCATTTCCTTTTTATTTTGTCCTCCGGGTAATAATAAACGCTTTACATTTACATTTTAGATAAAGCATTTTGAAAGGGAGTTATCTCTTTTTTTCTTTTTTAAATTATTTTAGTTTGTTTGCATTCATTCTTTTATTATACGTTGCAAAACCGTATTCGCTACGGTTTATTGCCAATGGAGAAAGAAAAACTTGAAAGGTTACGCGGGACAATCGCGCAGTTTGAAATTGCGGAACCTTCATCCTTTTACCTTCGGCGACCGCTACGATAATGTCATTATTACGTACCACAATTTGACATTATCCAAGACCACTACAATGATCTTTATGGCTTTTTCTTATTTACTTAGCATTAACCTAATTAGCGAAACGTGTTTTTAACTATAATCTATCCGGAGCTCATAAAATGACGGTTCTTTTGGCATATTACCTGACAAATGGAAGATATTTTCATTACTTGAAGAGCAGATGCAGCATCATTCGCCTGAAAAACACCGACATACCTTCAATAACCAATGCAATAAGAGGATTATGCTCAGGATGTTATGCGAATATGAACACACTCCCTTTAACGTCCACATGAATGTAGGTATCGTAGCCTTTACTATCTTGCCTTTCATATCAGTTTTCTGCAAATCACACTCTCTCCAAGCTTTCGATAACTTAGTTAATCTTTATCATCTCGTTCTAAACAATTCCACTTATCAAAAAATCCATTAATTTATCCAACACCATAAAAAGACCACAAAAAGCCTCTCTTTATAGAAATCTTTATAGTTCTATCGTGCCCTACGTTAATGGTTATTGTGTTTTCAACTTTTTCAGTGTCCAAACCCTAAAATATTTATTATATATCAATAATATCATTGAAGTATACCAACACTTCAATTCTAATTGAAGACCCAATACTCTATATATCAGAGGCGCTTGGTTTAATATATTAACACGAATTGTCAAGTTTGGCAGATTCTAGCGCCTCGCCCATATTGTTCATTTCACATCTTGGACAGTAAACCGAGCGCACAACATTTGCAATAGAAATCGTTTATTCTTCACTCAACACAAAATCGTCCTTTTGCAAGATTCTAGCAGATTGTGCAAGATTTAGACTATAAAGACTAAATGCAGTAACCTGTAAACTTGCCGAAAAGCTCACTTGGTAACAACAGATTAAGCATGAGTTCGAGATGTCCACTGTTCAAATAATAGTCATTAACTTTAAGCTCCTAGGTCAATTGGATCTTCTACGAGTGCTGGCGTAGAACTCAAAATTGGCCAAGTTGAAATGAGTTTTACACCTTTGTAAATTTAAATTTTCGAACTTGGTTACCTTGATATGCCGTAATATGTCATGATGTGTCATACTGTTCAGTGGGAGTTTTGAGTGTACCTACTTTATGTTTGTGTGGACAACTTTTTATAGCTGATTAATAATTTTAGGTGTGTTAGTTCCACCTTAAAACTCTCGATCCCAACACCTTCACTTCCATATTACAAATATTACAACACATGATTGACGTTGAACAAGGAGCAAAATGTTACTCAATTCCACTTGAGCTCCATCTAAAGTCTATAAAATCTTTTAATGACGTAATTTTTGTTTTTAACAAATAAACCAACGCCTGTATAGACGCTCATATAGAAAACTTTACACATGAAATAGGATCGACGGTGGTTTATTACGGTTTTAATTTAGCAATTCTATTTCGAAGAGCGACACCCACTGCATTCCTTTTTGGTACGGACGAAAATAGCGACGACGACGATGAAGCGAGTAGAGCCCGATTCGGAGTGTTAAAAGAATAGGTTGGCGGTGGTAGAAACGGTTGAAATTCGAAAACAATCGTCGAATAACCTTGACCTGGAGCCGTCGTAGCCGCGACCGCAAGTTTTCCCGTTACACAATAGGCAATTGGTCGCACTACACTTTCACCATCGTACTCCGCGATCCGAGAGCGTGGTGCCTCCTCTCTCCGTAACCGTCGCCGTCGTCGTCAACTCCAATCCTTTCCCCCCTCCATACAACACCAACGTTTATACCATTACTACGAAGCATATACACCGTTATCCTATTGATGTCGCAATTTTCTTTGATGTTTTAAAATGAAATAAGATCTTTTTTGTATCAAGGTGTTAAAACCAATGTTAATAATAAAATAATAAAGTTTTAAGACATAACGGAAAATGGTGGATGCGCCGGGCATTAATTTTTTTTTAAAATTTTAATTCAAATTAAATTTCCTGGCTCATTACCGCGTGGGTTGGAATTTCGTAAAAAGACTTCCCCGGAAAAAATTCTAAGCCAAAAGCTATTTCCGAAACTAGGTCAGCGCCGACACCCCCCGAAACATGCTTCGCCTCTTATTTATTACCAAGAGCAGGGGGAAAGGCCAAAGGCTGATTTCCACCCCACTTGTCACTTCCATAACGAATTTCAACTAAAAGAGATTATCGTCATGGTAACTTAAAACCTTAATCTTGCACACTTTCTTAAATTAAAAACGAAATTAATTTGGTTTGAATATGTATACTTTTTCGTTGTTGATAGGGTTACCGACTGATTTACGTTCGTACGCATTGCGACGTAACAGGTGCTGGAGTTTTAATGGCATTCCCGAAATTCAGCTACACCACAACCTCGCCGGTATTTATCGGTCCCAGCTGTCCCCAATTTTGCAACATAAATATTTCTCGTAAGATCTATTTACATCCACTTTTAAAGAAAATCATCTCATTCAATTAAAAATCACCCTGTATATTTCAACCGTTAATCAACTAATAAAATCAAAAATGTTTTAAACAATATTTGTTTATAATTGAAGCAAGAATAAGTATCAATAAATTTTCTAAAGATTGAAATTTCCTCTATGTGTGATATATATAAGTAACTATCGACCGCCAGGATACTAATAACTCACCCTGTATATACGTAAAATGACATTTTTGAGGTTATGTCAATAATTATCAGTTGAATCAAAATTTTTTTCAAATAATATTTGATTAAAATTTGATTTAAAATAATTTTGGTTAATAAATTTTTTTGGTATCTCCCATATTTAACTCTATATACTGGTATAAAAAATATACAGGGTGTTAAAATTAATTTTATATAAAATAGATGTTATCTACAACATCTAATAGTATAGCATTTATGTAATAAAATTTAAGTTGACAACGCCCGGTTGTATAGGAGAGTCGATAGAAGTAGCGGTTTAAAGGGGAACGACCGGATGTCGAGGACCGTTCCGATTGCTCCGCTTGAAAATATGGATCGCTCTAAATACGACCTCGCAATATACAACAATGAGGAACTCGGACCTGTAACACGCCTCCCGCAGCAGGTTTGAACGCGTTCTTCGAAATGGGTCGAGCCCCCCGGATGTAAAACGCGCGTTTTTTCCGCTCGCGAAAAGATGATATTTATTGCTTTCCGGGGTCGAAAAAAACGAGATACCAACGTAATATATGCGGTTTCCGTCTTTCGTTTTGCCAAAAATTTATCACCTTTAACTTCCGGCGTGTGCATTCATAAATTTCACCTTTTTACTCTTATTAAAATAAAAATGAATTTATCTCTTTAAAAATTTCTTAAAGGGGACGTAAAAATATTTTTGTGGGATCGATCCGATGTTTGGCGGTGGCGAAACATGAAGGAAGAGAAGGGGTGGAGTCCCGGGAATTGTTTCGCCACCACCAAACCCCGGAATCCCTTAACGACCGTCTCGGGGGTTCCTCTTGAGAGAGGATTCCGTTATAATAGTTGGCTTGCTGAAAACGTTGGAGACATTGTTGAAAAGAACGGGCGATTTCGAAAGGATCCCCCAAAAATCGTGAACAAAAAGAAAAAAGAAATGAAAAAGAATCAGGGACCTCCTCCGCCGCCGCCGCCACCGCCGCGAACTGGTTCTTCGAGCCGCGATCGGGGTCGACATCCCGTAGCTCGATGTCGGCAAAAACAAGAACCTGTTCGTCCGGACCTCATGGCCCTCGTGCGTACCCGCGACCCTTCCCCGGACGATCACCCCAAAACTTCTATGTTACCAAAATAAAAAGATATTCTAAAAATAAAATAGGAACTTAATCTATAAAGACGGAAAATTATTTTAGGATAACTTCGAATTGCTACAAAAAAATTATGAATCAGTGAAGTTGCACTGAAAATCACTGAACAGTAAGCTGTTCAGTGAGAAATTAATATGGAGATGAAAAAATCGTTTAGAATTGCATTGAAAAGCACTACTGTTCAGTGGGAAATATAAATATAAGATTATTCGTTTTTTGAGTGAATACATAAAATATTAAAAAAAAAACAACCTCCAAAAAAAAACCAAAAAATTCTTATTAATTTATTTGAAACAAAAAAGTACATCATTTCAAACTATTTTTTATACCAATAAACCGAAGGTAGTCAGTTTGTCAGATCCACATTAATTTTAAGGGTCCATAAAACCAAAGAAACTTCAACATAAACTTCAAATTAGTTAAACTAAAATACAGGTATCTGTAAACAACTTCAAATTACCTTTACAGATTTCTGTATTTATCGAACACGTTAGCTTTGATAACTAGCCGTTAGAGGTCAGCACGAGTCTACACTACACACAAACCACTTAGTGGAGGGGAAACACACGTGTTGTAGATCGATTGTTTAACAACAACAAAACACTTTTTAAATCTTTTTTGTTCTTGCGATGAACAAAAATCGTACACAAAAACAAACGAAAACGATTACAAACGCGAAAATTCTTGGTTAGGTGTGCGTTCGAACGTAGGTCTATTGAGAGAATGAAGTTCAACACTCGGTATCAAAATGGCGGCGCAGTGTTGGTGAATGGGAGGGACTTGGTCACGTGACGAAGTGGGTTGGGTTTAAATTTGATTCTAAAATCACGAAGGCGGAGCTAAGTAACGGCCATCTTTGATGTTGACGTCACAGATGTGATCACTGCGCAGTGGCGACATCTCTGCGAAATCTATTGGAATTACAAAGTATCTTCACAATATTACTATGTTTCAATTTTATTGATATTATTTTTGTTGAAATCCAAAAATTTAAAAAGAAAATGTTTTAGAATGGGGAAATAATGTTAACCTACATGCGTGATAATTTAGATCGGCTGTCAGTTGCGTAACCAATGACTCGATAAACATCTCTCTCGACGTCGTTAGCCCGGGACGAAAGCGAATAAATTAACTTAAAGTAAACCAAGAAGAAAAAAATAAAACGAACCAGACGAAGGGGATCATTATCCTCTCAGTTAATGATCAAGGAAAGGTCGAGTCATAGTGGAGAATGGTTTGGGTGTTGTGAGGGGAGAGAGATAAACTTAGGTTGTTCAGGAATGCGATAGCTTTTGTTTTGGCAAGGTGTGTGAGGAGGGGAAAACGGTTCGATCGAATTGAAACCCACCCCAATCCAGACCCTTTTTGTTTTTCTAAAACGAATGGAAGGGGAGTCGAATCGCTTCTTTTTGTTTTCATTGTGCTTACCTAAAATACAAAACTTAATTGTTGGAATTTATTCATTGTAACGTGAAGGTTAAACGACGCATTGTTTTCGGTATTAATTCCCGTGTAATTAATAGTATTATATTTATACATAAGCAACGACAAACTATTTGGAATGGAATCCCAGCTGTTAAACGATCCGTCCTTGACTCCCAATTATCCAGTTGAGTTCTCATCACTTCGAGTTTAATCGGAGCACAAGATACTGGTTTGTTAAAGGAGGAAGCAGGTGTTGGAATTTAATCCGTTAATTGAGTGAATCGCGTTTTTGAAGCTAATTTATATGTAATAAAGACTGGTTTATGCGATAAATATTCAAAACAAACTCTTTTAATATCAAGGTGAAATGTTATTTATTATACACCTTACAGTTTTTTATTTATTTTTTTTTTTTCGTTAAAAATTTGTTTTTATATCAATATGGTATCGATGTAATGCCTTTCCCGCAAGCGACTGATAATCCGCCTACATCATGCACTTTTCTTTAAAACTAATTAGTTTTTGTGTCGATGTAGCGCCTCGGCTGCATGCCATCTCGGCTTAATTAGTTTATATCGTGTATTTATCTTGTACATTTCTGTGTCAATGTAATGCCTCGGCCGCAGCGACCTCGGCTTAATCCGACTACATCTTGAAAACTAATTACTTTTTGTGTTGATACTTAATTAGAGTAATTAACTTAATTAGATCATATTGTACATTTTTCTTGTATCAATATAGTACTAATGTAATGCCTCGGCCGCAAGCGATCTCGGTTTACTCCAACTATATCATTCACTTTCCATGAAAACTAATTACTTTTTGATTCGGTGTAGCGCCTCGGCCACCAGCAATTTCGGCTCAATTAGATTATATCTATTATATCTGTAGTATGTAGTTGAATTTATCGTTACAACTTTAGTTCAAGAAGAGATTTTTGGGATGTTGTTTTAAAAGTTTACATAAAGTCTGTATTACGCGTAAACTTTTTGGGCACCAAAATTGCAAAACCATTAATCCCGAAACAATCGAACGGTACCGATTCCCGGAAGATTAACGACGTCCCGACGCTGGCAAAACACGATGGTAATAAATTACTTGGGTCACATTTGACCCGGCGGATACAATTGCACCGCTTTAAAACTATATATAGCTTTCCGGTGAAAGGAACCCATTTTTTTTTGCGATTTTTTATTCAGCAAAAAAAAACCATAAAAAAGCACAATTTATCTGATCGTATTTGTTATTATTATTGTTTCAGGTTTTAGTTGAATACGATGACGTTGAATGGCACAGACGCGAATGGATCAGCATTTACAAAGATAGTCTTTTTCGATTGTTTATGGTGGAACAAGGACTTTGTTGGGCGGAAAGAAGGGATCCTTACGCTAATAGCCACGGAAAAGTTATTTGGCCCGCACTTGTAAGTATTTTATTTTAATTTAAAAAATTAAGTGTTAATTAGTTGACTTAAATTGACCCAAGTTATTTTTAGCGGCTGAATGAACGCATAATTCGCCCACTTTTTTTTATTTTATATGGATGTATGACCTTCGAACGAATGCTAATTGCGTTTGTTTCATAACGGAATCGTTTTTGGATGGCTTCGAGCCTGTTATATTTGTTCCGTATTTACAAGCCATGAAAAACAGTCATCAACTAAAATAGCCTTTTAAAACATCATGTTGGCAACGATTATAGTTTTTATTTAACCTTGAATAATTTTTTATTTTTTAAGAATTTGCTATGTGGAATTGTGGATGAACTTGAACAAATCTGCTTGTTCGTTTTTCTTTTTCTTCTTCTATTCTTCCTTACCGATGCAATTACGGTGTGCAACGAGCCTCGACCGAACACAATGTCGTCATCGGATTTCTCCTCCGCGTTCTGTTATACTCGGGGGAAGGCGGCCCCATTATTATTCATATCGCGACCTGATCGTCGAGCAACTCGCTGCCTGTTCTCACGCCGAGTTCTGTCTCGAATACCTAATTTGTTCGGCCAGAGGCGGACTTGGTTCCTGGAAGATACTGTCAAGGTCATCGCATCATAGGATTCATCACAAATTCATTATCATTCATGCTTTTCTTTGTCTAATTCGAACTAAAAAAAAATACTTAAGACAATTTGAAAGGTAATTAAAATTATGGAACGTCGTTTTCATTACACGGCTTAATTAAAACCGGCAATTGTTTACGTAGAAAGGACGCCTACTCTAATGGTGACGACGGCCTTTTACCATCCATTGTATGTTGTTCGATCGAACAATGAAGAGTAAGCGGCAAACAATGGAGCAGTAAAGCGGTCCACGACGATTATTTTATTTTATTTATTTTATGTGTGTGTGCTGCTTTTAAGAATCTCGACCGAAGAAGAGAAGTCTCGTCTTCGGTGACTCACGACCGCAAAGAATTGCGCAAGAGATTGCGGTCGTCTTTCTTTCGCGCCGTTGCCCTTCTCTTTCTTTCGTTGATTTTTCGTCCAAGAGACGAGAGTTTCTCAACCGAACCTTGACAGTTGGTCGATTCTTTTCTCGGCACCTGTTATGGACGCAAAAAAATCGGCGCCTCCTTGAACCAGTCGGTGCGAGAGAGCAAAAATAAATAAATAACTATAAAAAACACGTTCCGAATGACGTAAGATTTATTAGGGTTTAAAAAAATGTTTAACGAGAACGGTCGCGCACCTGTTCACCTTGTAATATTTACCTTTTTTCGTATCGAATGTATATGTTATGCGTTGTACACGTGTGGGTTGGGTGTAATTGAGAATGTCTTTCTGATAAAATTGAAAACCTTGAATTCTAAAACGAAAACGAGCTATTCAAGTCATTTCAAACAATTCCTGAAGATGAAACAAATCCCCGAAAACGGTTTATTATCATTACCGGTTTTGGAACGAATTTACGGGGTCATAACACGACCTTATTACAACGATATTCGAAACAACGACGGTCGTGTTATTTTAAAACGTATACAGATAAAAGCGTTCCTTTCTGGACCCCGAACGATGGTGTATGTGCGCATAAATCACGACAAGCGGCGGCGGTTGTTGCGAAACGAGGCGTCCATTTAACATTTATATTGTGGTAGCTCGGGCTTCGCGTTGCGTAAACGGCCGGACCTGAATTATGCATGCCCTGGCCATTATTTACCCAGCGAATGACGGTTAATCGAGCCAATTTCAAAATGGAAGAATCCAAAATCTAATTATCGTTTAATTATAAACGTTTTAATTATTAAATAATTAATATTCAACGAATACGTTTAAAAGAATTGTAAAAGTAATTCTATAAATAATGTATGTAATAGAAGAACATAACAATTACAAAGTAGAACGTTTGTAGTTCTTGTTGAGTAAACAAGTTTTAAAAGGTTCCCGAGTAAGTAGGAAGTAAAAGCAAAAGAAGAGAAAGAAAGAAATAGTTAAAAAAGGAGGAATAAAAGAAAAAGAATGAAGAAGGCGTGCAATGGTTGAGCGAAACGAACGAGCGCTCGCTCGCACGGAATGTAAATAACGTAACCGTTACGCTGGCGGACCGCTTTAATAATGGATTTCCATTGTCCTGGAGGTCGGCGCGAACTCGCCGTCGGTTTTCGCATAGTTTTCCAAGCGGCTCTCGTCGAGCTCCCTTTCGACGAAATCACCCCGGGGAATACAATAGCCTCGGCCTCCAACCTATTGTTCTTCTTCTCTTTTCACAGTTCCATTGTATATATTTCTTCCTCTCAACCTCAACCAGATTTAGTGTTTAACTATTTTCTTAAAACTTACTTTTAATTGTTTTTAAAAAGATTATTATTGTTTGAGTTTTGTGAACAGAAAAATTAATTTATTCTTATCTAAACGAAAATCCTCAAATTTCTTCTTGTCGGGGTGAAAATTATGCCTTGATTTGTTCATCTATTTCGGCAATTTCCTATTTAATTCACAATCACACAATAGAAACTAAAATTCGGATTTATTGACATTTCTCTTGTCATCGCGGTAAAATCGTGCTGCCAACTTACAAATAATTAAAATATGCGGTAAAATTATACTGCCAACTTAAGACAACTAAAACTAGTCGACTTAAAAATAACTTAATTACTTATTTAAATTAAATTTAACCTAAAATCTCTTTATAAACCATTTCACTTTGGTTTTTTTAACCAATTAAATTATAATTCATGCCAAAATGATTTATTTAATAAAAAATCACTTGAAGTTATTTTGGAGGTGCGTGTTGGTACTAATTTTTATTTTTAAGGTTATGTTTTTAACTATACTTGTGTTAACTTCTAACTATTGTTGTCCATTTGAACGATAATTGGCCAGATATGCGACTGGCGTTTACGTGCTGCATGAATAATTCAATGTAGGAGGATGACAGAGGTACGAAGAGGGCGAGGCGGTGTTGGAGGCGGTTGCGACGGCGGCGGGAGAGGTCGTGATATGCAATATTTATGGTCGCGATGTCGGAAACGGGCTGCCGTGAATAATTATACCGCTGCGGAACGTACGAAAGTGACTTATTAAACCGGTTTCTTATTAAACTTCTCAACGAGAATAATCTAGTTACTACATTCTTTAGTATTCACCTAAAAATTAAGTCGATAACTTCCTGTATAAACGGACGTGTCATGGATCACTTTTGCAAAGTTTTAATTATTTATTTTTCTTGTAGAAAATTCAAATTGGTTGTTTTTGCATAACTTAAGAGATTAATTAACGTCCCGTGGTTTGTACGAACGTAGGAGATAAAAAAGAAAGCGGACTCGGTTGGAAAAGTTCGTTGGCAGGCAGGCAACGGGTTGTCTCGCGTTGTTGCATAACTCCAAAGCCGCGATCCGGTAGAAGTATGCGGGCAAAAATTCCTAAGGTCAATCGTGTCGTAAACAATGGGGCCTCGCTACTTTGACTCTTAACAACTCGTAACAACTCGAAAATTACGACATTTTAAACGACCACTAACCGTTAGAATAATTTAAATATGTCTATTTTTAAAAAGGTGAAAATGAAAATATATTTTTTTTTATATGCTTGGTGGAATCAAAGTCCGTTCTTGTCCAATAAATATTTGTTCGAATACTACACGGTTCGTTTGGTTTAAAGACGCATCCGAGCATGTTTTCCTCTGCCACGCTCTGCGAACTGTTTTCGTTCTGACCCAGATCTACACGGTGATTTATAACGCGGAAACTTTTAGTACTTGCAATACCATACAATCGATCTTTCTGAGTCACACTTATTACCAAGAAATTATCAATAATTACCCATCATTTTTTATTTTAAACCTTATCGATATCTTCTTTTCTGGTTTGCAGACGTTTCTTTCATTGGTATCCACCGTAGAAATCCCACAGCACACGCAACCGGTCGAGTTCTTGTTGGACCACGAGTTGGCCTTCACGGATTACAAGCAGCTGAAGCCATTTCAGGTAAGAAAAAGTTAAAAAAAAAAAATAATAATAAATGACTGGGTCTCCCAGACGGAAAAATGCGAAGCAACAACCTGTTTCCCTTCTTTTTTGTCTCGTCGGCTCCGTTTTTGATCTCGAGTTGCGTAACGCCCCGCACGCTCAATTGAGACTAAACAAAAAAAGTAATAAGAAAAGAAAAAAATTTGAAAGACCAACAAAGGTCATAGTTATAAGAATACAAAATCTTTTTTTACGTTCTTGCAATCTATAGAATAAAGAAATTTTGCAATCTGTCTAATTTAACCCTTAGCTTAATCGAAAGATTTGAAAGACTTTTTTAGTAACTCTATTTGATAAAGCATCATAACCTTCGTTATTGGTAGTATTTTGTCCTCTGCCAGAAGTACCTACTCTTTTGTCTGCAGTATCTAGTTTTCGGGCAATAATATCTAGGCTTCTGCAGGCAGTATTTACTCTCTAAACGCAGCATCTAGTCTTTTGCTAGCAATATCTAGTGTTCTGTAAGCAATATTTAGTCTTCTACAGGCAGTATCTAGTCTCTGAAAGCAGTATTCTGCAAACAATATTTAGTCTCTGAAAGCAGTATCTAATCTTCACCAGCTCAATCTAGTCTTCTGCCACCGCTATGTAGTCTTCGCTAGCACTATTTAGTCTTCTATAAATAACTTATAAATATATATACATATAAACTCGTAAGTTTATTGTAGTCCGGTTCAATTAATTAATATAATAAAAATGAAATGAAAAACAAAAAAAAATAACATCTGGATACTTAACTCTTTATTTACTCATTCTGCGTTCAAAGAATAGAAAAAGATACGTGCTTAGAATATTTTTCCTTCTCGTTTGCCACAGCACACATATTTACGCGACGGATTCCACGGAATTCACGCCGTTTTGTTATGCAAATGCGTAGTCAAGGACGCCGTGCGGAATCGTAAAACGAGCTCCCCGCGACACATTCGCGACAAATGCGCCGGAAAACTTAATGGGAAAAGAAGAGGAAGATTTCTCTTTTCATCAATTAGTAATCGCACCTTCTTTGTAATCCGATCTGATTTTGTTACGAAAATAGTATGTGTACAAATGCTGTGCGAAAGAGAATTTCTTAGGAAAGGAAGTTATTTATGATTCCGACGATTGTTTTAAGTACTATTTGAATGGTTAAAATAAAATAAATACAATATCGTATAAAGTTCATTGGTTATTATCGTAAATCCATTGACCTTTCGTAGTCTTCGTTCTCGCTGAGAGGATAACGACCGTAATCATAATAATGAAGACTTACCAGCCGTATTTCCGACGTTATTTATATATTTATATACTTGGTTTATTATTAAGTAATTTTGATAAATTTTGTTGGAAGTAGTTTGTTAAAAGCCACCATTATTCATATAACTCGAACGAAAAGTTTTCTTGGCAAGGTAGTCTAAAGAAGAAGAAGAAGTGAGTTTCAACGGAATTTCCAAAGTTTCACAAGTCAGGGCGCGTAATGGGACCGAGAACTTGTGCTGGACCGGAATTGTTTTGCCCGAACCCGCGGGATTAAACGGAACTCACTTTTCAAAGTTTCGAAAAGTTATCCAGACAACGACGATAATACGAACAAAGTTTGATTGGTCGATAACCGAGACGACACCTTGATGTATAATTGGATTTTAACCAAAAAAGAAAGTTCCGTTTGATTAATTAATTATGAGTAATATTAAAATATGATTGAGTTTGTAATAAACAATGACACAATCGATAATTCTAAGAATTCCGTGAATGAATGGTTTTAAACGGGCGAATGGGAGAATGTCATATTTACGTAACCGTGTAACTACCGTATTATGAGGCAATCGCGTACCGGGGGGCCTTCGGAACGACGCCATTTCTCGACCAGTTTACCGATCTTTCGCTTTCTCCTCCTGCCAATTCTCAAGACCAATGCGCCAACATTCTCAAACCGCTCCCACTGCTGTTCGACCGGAATTAATCAACAACAATCGTTATCGGCTACATAACGGTACTTTCTACGTCCATGAAACACAAAAGAACTAAACAAAACACTTCAATTATTATAACATTATTATTAATTACACCTACTACGATCATTTTCGTTTTTATTAAACTAGAAACAGGAAAACGTTTCCTTCACAAATTTACATTTAACAGGCGTCTGTAGATAACTGCATCGATAATTACTTAACGGTCACAGAAATCCGTTAAGTAATCCAAATCTGATAAATAATCAAATTGTTTAACCCATAATTTATTTCTTTTTTTAATGATAGAAAGGTATTTTCCATTCAAAATTTAGTCCGGATCGATAACTAGCGAGCATGTCGAGGGGTTAACTTTACCGAAGAAGAAGCTGGCGAGCGCAATTTCCGGCGAACCCATCCAGTTTCCTGCTGCACAGCGAATTATGCGGTCCTCGGCTTAAATGAAACATCGCGAGGACCCCGGGGGCGACCGACAGCTCTCTCCACCCCGCCGCGAAACTACGAAACTCCGAGAGTTGTTCGAAATTCCTGCCGCTCGGGTGGTTGTGCCAGTGTTTTCGTTGCGAAATGGGATGTAAATTGTTTTCCTTCGAGTTTCGCTTCAAACTTTATCCCACGAACCGATAAAGCAGACTATTAACTACTCTACTATAACAGCTATAAATTTCCAATTGAATTTTCTAATAAAAACAAAAAAAATAGGTCTTTTTCAATCTCATAACACTTTATATCACCGGTTCGCTTCCTTAGTACACGGCAACTTAAGCAACAATATTATTTTTTATCTTAATGCAAAATTAATGCAGGCATAGTAAAGATTGAAATTGAAACTATCTTATTACAGCTGTTTTACCTTGATGAGTTATTAATTAAAGACAGCGACTCGGAAAACGTGTTTTGATGAGCAGTCGTGTCTAATCTTGTATAAGAAGGATTTAGGCTTCCGTTGGTAGATTCTGCTCTTCTGTTTGCAGTATCTAGTCTTCTGTCTGCAGTATCTAGTCTTCTGCAAGCAGTATTTAGTCTTCTGCAAGCAATCCCTAGTGTTCTGCAAGCGGTATCTAGTCTCTGCAAGCAGTCTCTAGTGTTCTGCAAGCGATATCTAGTCTTTGAAAGCAGTATTTCATCTTTTACTAAAAATATATAGTCCCTGCAAGCAGTATTTAGTTTTCTGCGAGGAGTATCTAGTCTCTGCAAGCAGTATCTAATGTTCTGCAACAGTATTTAGTCTCTCTAAGCAGTATCTAATCTTTTACTAACAGTATCTAATCATTTACTAGCAATATCTAGTCTCTGCAAGCAGTATTTAGTTTTCTGCGAGGAGTATCTAGTCTCTGCAAGCAGTATCTAATCTTCTATAAGCATTATTTAGTCTTTGAAAGCAGTATTTAATCTTTTGCTAGCAATATGTAGTCTCTGCAATCAGTATATAGTCTTTCACTTGCGATATCTACTCATCTGCCGACACTATCTATTCCCGATTAGCAATATCTAGTCTTTTGCAAGCACTATCTGGTTTTCTATTAGCAGTATCTAATTTTCCAACCTAATTGAAATATATAAAACCTTAAACGCTGTGACTACCATAAATTTATTTACTTCCTTGTACAGATTAATATGAAATTTCAAAAAGAAAATCTTATTAGAGATATATTATCTCTCCTGATCGAATGTAAAGAAAAAAGTTTCAATCTGTTTTGAATGAACGTGGTGACGACAAAGGCGCGGCATCGTACACGGGACGATAACCGTCCATCCATTCTATTTTCGCCGCCTCCGCGGGGCAAATAAGCACATCGATCACGTAGAGAAGCTGCTGACCCTGACTCCGGCGCGCACTTAATGTATTCATAATGCGTTCGCAATTTATCTCTCTGCAACGTCGCCCACCGTGTGTGCATTGTCCGCGGGAGTAGAACCGGTCTCGAAGTGAACCACCGCGTCCGTGTTAGAGATGGCGAGAAAGAAAGAAAGCCATCAAAAAAAAAAAGGATTGAAGAAAAAAGATCTTTCGTTGGAATCAACGGCTAACGATGAGGGGAAAGAGGATAGAAACCGTGTTTGTCCACTGATTAATTGCAATTCGTGGAACGTTGTTGATGTGTTTACAACGTTACGAACGATGGGAATGGAAGAATTTGGAAAAAATAAATTAATAAATTTTCCTTGATAAAACGACAATGATAGTATCCGGAAAAGCTGGCTTCGGGGGAGAGGGGTTAGGGAAAACTGTTGTTGGTTGGGTTTATTGTTCCACATCGAGCTTGGTGAGCGTAGATCACGTTTTATGGACATCGGACGCGGTCTGAATAAGGGAACTCGATTAATTGCCAGAGGACCGGTCCAGAGGAATGCAGCCCGGATCGCAACAGCCTGCCATTATGGCGCTATTGACGACTGGAAACGGGGCCATGAACGTAGCCGTTGCTGCTGTTGCTGCAGCGACGACGACGACGACGCCCACTTTAACGGCCCTCCCCGCGACACCTCTCGACTTCCCTCACCAGCGTATACACACATTCAAACCATTGCGTGTCTAGCTTCTCTTGGGTTGTTTACTTTTTTTCTTTCGTTTTCCTTACTTTGGTATGTACCTCCTGGGAACATTCCCCTTCGCAAATTAAGTGGTTGCGATGAAATAGAAATAGCAAAAACAAAAATAAAAAGGTAGGAAGATGGGGAAACTCGTAACGAGGAAACTTTCAGTCGGGGGTCTTTTAAAAGTTGGTTAATGCTACAATCCTCCGCTCGTAACCAAGTTTGTATTCCGTCTTTTCGTAGTCCTTGATGTCCGTTCTCATCCAAATGGAAATACGAACTTTATTTAAATTATGCAATTTCAAAGAGTTGTTAAACATGTTTAAAAAAGTTATTAGAAATTTTATTATGTATGTATTGTATGGTATTTTAATTGGAATTTTTAGTTTTTACAGTTGGTGACAATTAAACTTTTAATCTCAATTACAGCCTCAATTACAACTTTTTATAGATAAAAGTAGTAATAGTAATAATTATAGTGAATTATCAATAATATGAACGTTAATAACAAGTATTAATAATATTATTAATAATAAATAAAAAAATTGAGGTTATGTTTCATATTCGTTGATGATCAAAATGGGAATACTTTATGAATTTTATTTAAATTAGGTATTTCCAAAGGGGTTTGAAAAGATTTTTAAAAAATGTTATTGGTAAGTTTAGTAGAATTAGATTTATTATTGCAATAAAATATTTAATTTGATTTTTAAAATTTTTAATTTTTACAGTTGGTAACGAATTAAATTTGTCAACTTCAATTACGTTGAATTACGTTAAACTTTTTTAAAGATAAAAATAGTAATAATAATAACAATAATAATAATAGTGGAATTGTGACCAAGGAGAACATCAATAACAGGTACATACATACATATATCTTCGAGATCTTATTATTTTATAAAAAAATCACGTTAAAAATATTGGGGTTATGTTGTCGATAGAACATTTTAATTTTTTCTATTACATTTCAGTGGGAAAACACATTCTTTCCCACTTTCCCACAATCCCTGAGTAAATAAAAGAAACATAGTAAACATTAACTCATAAGTATAATAAACGGAATAATAAAATAATTACCTTAGTATAAAAGATGTAACAAAGTAAAATTGGGTCATGATTAAAACTGTTGGTAATTCAGAATTTATAATGTTAGTAATTCAGAATTTCCAATCTCTTTATATTACGGGTACTTATTTATTTTGCATAATGAGATGGAGAAACAAACATAGAGATATAACCACTATTTGAAAGTATGAAGTTTATTTCTTTACCTTGGTTTAAATCGACGCGGTTAGCAATTAGCTATCAACTGGACCAAGACGGAAGCCGAATGTCGGCGGTGGTAGCAACAGCGAAAGGGCTCACCGGGCCGGAACAAGAAAGTAAAATAGAACAATCCTCGGTAATTGGTGGTTTGGTTTCGCGTTTTCCCAACAAACCCGAAACCCAATTCGTGCTCGAACATGAATAATTCAATCCCACACGACCGGTTAATGATAAACGCCAAGATAACGACCCGAAGAAAGAGAGCCTTATAAAAAAAGGCCATCGCTAATGAATACCTCTGGAAGGTCAATTCGCGTTCTCTGTAAATCTTCTCGGAACCGAGAAAGGAAAGACGCCGAGACCAGAACCAAGACGAGGTTAGAGGAGAGGAAGAAGAGAGGTTGATGATGTGAAGTAAATACGTTAGAGAAGAAGAACCGAAGACTTGAACCTGTTCTTTCTCTTCTTGTCGTGAATCCGAGAAACCGTACCTCGGAACGTGACAGCGCCGTATCGGGCCGTATCCGACGACCATTATCCCAAGAACTGGTTCCAGAGCGGCCATTCTGAGTCCGCGGTTCTCTTCAGTGTCCGCGCGGCAGACGTCGCCTCGTTTTCTCAACCTCTTCGTGTTGTAGGAGGTCGTCGAACCGCAAATGCTCTCCTCTACCACAACCACGCTCACCACGCTTTTTCATTCACCAACACGCGGCGGACATTTCGCGTTATCGCCATCGAAACGCAATCGCTGCCGCTATATAGCCTTTCGGCCTTCGATCATTCACCGACGTGTCGCAACACGTCCGATATATAACGCGCAGTATATCAACCTCAATTTTATGCGCATAATCCAGTTATAATGTTTTACAGTACAACACGAGGTCGAAGAACTTTAGTATCTATGGTATTGTTACAAATAGTATCAATTTAATTAAATTAAAATGTACATCATCACTTCTGATTGATTTAAAATTCACCGTTGGAGAATTTAAAATCGTGTAATTTAAATGTTAAAGATTCCATCCGAAAACACATTTACTACAACTCCGGTTTTGTTTTTGTTTGGATTAACTGACGTCTGGCGTTCGTTTACGCGCCCCCTTTGTGTTTCGGTCCTTTCATCAATGCGTAAATATTATGATCGCTTCCCGAAATATCTTATACACAGATAAATTCCGTTATTTACAATGTTATTATTAAAATAATCAATATTCAAATATAAATTACGTAAACGTAACTTCCTATTTTCATGTTTTTTTTCGTTTTTATAGGAATGGGATTCGTCACTTTCCGGTGTTAGAGAATATCCTGAATTAAAAGCTTCGGTTAAACGATGGGCTGAACAACAAGACGGCCAAAGAATCCTTTTGGCAACTCCTAGTGTTCTTGTCGGATACAGGGTTGAAGTTTACAGGGCGGAAGGGACCACTCAATGGTATACAGCTGTTATAGTTGGATACAACGAAGCTACTAGGGTAAGAAACAGAACAGTAACATTTAATTGACTCAAACGACTACAAAGACAATTTCTCTTTGTTAAGCACAATTTAAACCAATCTAAACTGGACAAATAACGTTCTACATGTTGTTGACCCACATTAATTAAATACAATCCATTTTAATGATACAATATTGACATAACAACAAATTTTTTTTAATGTAAATTCGATTTTAATTTCAAGTCTTTCGTTTGACATTCAATCGAAACACGCACGTATGTACCACGAATGCAAATTAGACCTCGCCCGTTCCACATACGGTCGTTCTTATGTATGTATGTAAATGCGGGCTCATAAGTAACTGTAGAGCGCAATAACTGTACAAAACACGGTGTACAAGTAGAGGAAAGGTTTAGAATTGGAGAGAAAGAGAGATAGAACGGGGTTAGGAACTATTAAGAAATTAATGCCCCGGGTGTGAGCGAGACGACGCGAAACGATATTAGCATAGTTATTGCGGCGTTTCATGCCGTTTCCTGTTCGTTTGGAAAAGTGAAATCGGCACGGGAAAATGTCCGTGACCTATCCGGTGAAGAACATTCGATTTATTTAGTTATAACTTCTTCTAAACGTTAATTGAAGAAGATATTTTATAACTTTCACCTTTAATTTATTTTTATGATAGGATAAAAATTTATTTATTATTGACTCCTTTAAGTTTCTCTTCATCTTCCATCACTCAGTATTGTCTCTAACAACGGTCAAGATCATCCTCAACATCGTTTTAGATATCCTTCAAAGCCATCTCGAGGTCGGCTACAATATTATCTTAGACAACACTCAATATTATAGCTGGTTCATCTCAACATTATCCTGGACACCCCTTTCTATCATATATGAGACAGCATATCATCGTTTCGGATATCTCTCAATATCATCTCTGATACCTCTCAGACCGTTCTTTGTTGCCTCTTATAATAATCTTACCATCACATTGTATAAAACATGATGACAACTCCGTATCGTCCTATTCCACCTCAACATCGTCTTGGGTAACACTCAACATTGTCCTTCACAACACTAAAGAATGTACCAAACTTCCTTAACATGATCCTCCGCACATTTCTACATCGTGCTGGATATCCCTGTTATCTTCACACCAACTCAAAAATATCTTTCGGCATTGTCTTGTTCATCCCTCATTTCACAAAATATCTTTCCGAGGGAAATAGTTAAAGTATTAGTATTAGTAAAGAATTTATTCTTTGAATTTTATAATAATTGTAGAATTTTGTTATCAATGCACGTGCACCACCGTGAAATTAATTGAAGTTTACGCTTCGTTCGGTTTATTGAGAGCATGATTTTTGAGGAAATTATCAAACGAAATTTTCCCACGTTAATTTTCCCTTTTCTGTCTTTCTCTAACTCGACGGTAAATTATTGCAAAACCCGCGGGGCAATTACACGTCGAACTGGTTTGTGTTTCAACCGAGTTACGCCATCATCGATTTTGCTCGTCTCCTCATTTAAAATTCCTTTTGAATTTATTTGATTTTTCTTTTTATTTTAGGACCTGACAGTAACGGACGATACCGTCCTAGAGGAACACAACGAAGATCCCGCTTTAGTTCAGATGAGACTGATAGGAGATGGAGGTAGGTAAAAAATAATAAGTTGAAAAAGAAAATGATAATCGAAAAGACCCGAAGGACATCGTCGTTTTGTCGAGTTATAAAATTGGTAAATCGTTCGGGGACTGATAGTATAGAAACGGGAGCAAAATTCAATCCTCCCGGGTGCAAACAACGTAAACGGGAAAGTCGATGGAAACTCGAGGAAAACCCTACGTAACCGGGGAAGAGGTTAGGAGACGAGGATAAATTTTTAAGAGGGATTCTGTGACCTACTTACATCGTCCTTTTCCTCGAAAAAGATAAAGGTCAGATGATGTTCGTTGAAAACAACTTCAATTAATAAAATAAAACAAAATAAAATGTGTAATTTAAAAAAATTGATATCTGTAATCTGTATCGAAAAATATGTTTTCATTGTTATTCCACTCGGAACGTAATTGTCAAGGCCGCTGTTGTGGCGTTCGTGCCCATATCTTAACAAATTGTTGACCTTGCTAGTAAGCATTTAAAAATGGCTACATAAACTATGCATACCGCTTCGTTATCGATAAAAGTCCGCATGCAAAATTACATTACGCAAATCGCTTAACATTTATAACATCAACGGAACTGAAAATAGAAGCGACGTTGAATGTTTGCCAAAACATTCCGTCTCCCACGCTTCGGTTGTGAATGAAACCCCAAGGATTGTTGTTTGCAGGTGTAAATTGTTGGCCCGGGATTTATCTACCTCCCGCCGTTTAAAATATTTAAAAATGTTTAAAAATCTCTAAAAACAATTTAAAAATTTTAAAATATTTCGAACGTATGCATACATAGAAACGGTAATTTTAATTTGAAACTTTATCGTTTTCGCGTCGATGTGTTTTGTGTGGTGCGGTCGGGAACTCGCTCTGTGTGCAATTAAACGCAATAAAAACAAAAATAAATGCAAAATTCCCTGCTGCGGAGCGCGTATATTTATAACGCGTAGTCCCCGCTCGACAATATAAATAATTGAATTTTTTCCCGTACGTTCGCGTTTCCAATTAAATTGCAACTGTACCGAGAATCCTTTGAATACCAACAGAATATTGTTTATAACCGTATATCCACGGTTTTTATCACGTTTCAATTTGTTCTATTTTTTTATTCATTTCTATTATTTTTTATTTTTTTTCCTTGCAGTTGTTGAATCTATCATGCGTGGTGAAAATGTAGGGATTACGCCAAGAAGATCCAGATCAACCGTTCTTCAAGCTCAATATTATCATCAACAACAAACGGTACGACAAAAATTATTATTATTGCAATAATTATTCTTTTTATCTTATCTTAATTCTTAAAATATTTTGGGTTGTAATCAAGTCTGGAGATATATTTCTAAGAATAGCAAGATTTATTTAAGAATGACAATTTAATTTTTTTTAATAAATAAAGTGCAAATAAGATTTGTAACCTGATAGCACTTCCCGGTGACTCACTCGACTAGAAACAGCAGCCACTCTTTAACAGCTTTAAAGAAACGAGAACGAAAATCCTTGAACTTAAAAATAATACCCGGGACGAACCAGAACCCGCGACGTTAGCGTACGACGAGGACAGAACTAATTTACGTCCTGTTATTTCCTACCAGCACAAAACAGAGTGTTAACTTGTTGTTACACTTTGAGGTCAAATAAAGGTCATCAACTTTAAATCAATTTAATTTAGATGTTACATTTTTTATATTTTAAAATGGATTTGGAAAGAAAGTCTTAATAAAATTCTTTTACAAGGAATCTCAAATAAGTAAATATAGGAAAGAAACGAAAACATATAAAAACTTGGTTATCTAGCAAATCGTGGAAATCCGAAGAAGTGCTTTCGCGGGGTTGAGTAAAATCGATACATGGTAGGAAACGGGGTCCCGAAGAGAAAAATCGTCGTGCAAAAGCACTACGCGCCTGCGTCGAAAGAGACTGTGAACCGGGACGCCCCCCTGCTAGCCCCGATGGCAACGCCATCGCGCAACTCGATCCAGAAGCAACGGCTTGCTAACGCAGGAAGACGACCAAGACGACGCGTCATCACGGTTCCGCGCAGTGTTCGCACGTTATCGTCCCGTGTGTATCCCGAAGGAACTCGAGGTGGCGATTTCCCCACTAAAAAAAAAGGATTAAGAAAGAAATAAACAGTGGAATATCCGGGTAAATTCGGTTCCGGGTTTTAAATAATAATAAAGATTCTTTGTATCCGGGACGAGTGATTGTGGTGATTCACGCCTTTTCTTTTCCATCTCTTTTTTTTTCTTGGGTAAAGAAAAAAGAGATTCTTTGTGTGTAAAAGGAATTTGTGGATGATCCTAAGTGATTTTGGTAAGTATTTCGAGGCTTTTTTTCTTGGAATGAGAGGAGGAGTGACGTCAAGAAGTGGATCGATAATTTTGTCCAGGTGGATGAGTGAATCCCGATTTGGGATGTTCAAGATTTTGAAGGTCATCTTTATTATTTCCAAAAATGTTTTTATTCAATCAAAACCACAATTGATTAATCAATTAATTAAAAGAACACAAAAGAATAAAGAGAGTGTTAACATGTGAAAGTGGGAGCCAGTAATAACGTTTTCTAATGCCCGATTAAAGAAAAACTAGGACGTCCCGGTTTAAACTACACCAACTGATTACATAATAACTTAACATCATATGCCAGGAGCCTAACTCGAAACTAATGAACCCAAATCTAGTTACATCGTTTATTTATTGTGACTGCGTATTGCAAAATCGAAATCAACTGAAATCATCGTGATCATCAATCATCCAATTCCATAAATACCAACCACCATCTGTCCAATACGAGAAGTAATATTATTAATCAATTTGCAAACAACGTACATCTACGTTCCTCTAAGTCTAGTCGTTTTGACCTTAAAAGCGCAGAGACGAACGCTTGAGATAGAAAGCACAGACCGGTTTCTTGTGCTGCCTCACCATAATGTATTCCTTTACGGCTGCAGTTCCCGCAGGGGGGTCCAGGGCAAGGGGGCAGAAGAGGGCCATTAATCGCATGTTCGAACCGGTTTCGGACCGTGCGTGACCCGTTCTTGTAAAACGTCCGATTTACGATCGACGCTTTGCTTATGCTGTGCTTGTGGCGTATTTCTGTGTGAGTGTTGGTGGTGACTCATACTTGCTGGCCTATATTTCCATAAGTTCATTTTTTTAAGATAAACTAAATATTTAAAAATATGCAATTTTTTTTTATAGTAAAATTTTTATATTGTTTCAGGGTAGAGTAATTCGTGGTATATCACTTGCAACACCTACAAATACTGCCTCAACAACTGTTACTACGAGAAAACCTAAATCGAGTCCATCAGAAGATAAAGGTAAGATTTTGTATGAAATGATTTTTTAGAAAACCAATTTATCTTGAATTATTTTGAAATAGAGGTTATTTAGATGTCAAAAGTAAAAATTAATTCAAGTTGGATTCGTTAAATCATTGAATTTCTAGAAAATCACTTTGTTTTAAATAGAGGTCAAATAGAGGTTAGAACATTGTATAAATCCTACCCCTGCACTGCCGATCGTGTCGACAAAAACGGGGCAGCGTCATCAAATTTCCCCAGAAATTGATTCGGTATGCATTCCGCCCCCGACGTGCTGCTGCCCCTCTTTATACCCCCGTACCGCCCACTCGCCCCATTCACACGGCAAACCGAAGAGTTTCAGTAGTGTTTGGCTTGGAATTACGTCGACGGTGGTGGGAGAATCGCCATGGCGACGAGCTTTCCGCATTTGCCGCCCCTCCCTTAAAGCTCGGAAAGCTTACAAAGTTTGGGCGGCCGGCCGTCATTCTACCGCCCCCTTTTCCCTGCGCCCCCAATTCTCCGGCGCGTTGTCTGTTGGAATTTCGTTTATTCGGACGCGTTTCGATTGTACGCCGAGAGAAAGGATTTTATTCGGAAAGTTTTAATGGGGTTGTACGGATTTTTCCCTTATAATCCTCCCCTAGCACGATTTTTTTTTGCGAAACTACCCTTCAGAGTTTCAGACAGACATTCCTTAAGGGGGTCATCAATCATTTTGTTTGATGTTTCTAAAAGCCGGTTTAGATTCAGAGGTCATTTCAAGGACAAACTAACAAAACCTTACTAAATTTTTTTATTTTTATTAATAATAATAATAATTCCCTTTGTATTTTATGGAACATAAAAGCTTCCATTTAGTTGACGTTATTACGCTATTATATTGTTTAGGGTTTGAAACAATGGGGAGAGAGTAGAGAGAAACAACGATGTCGTTTAATTTATATACGCGACGGTAGTTCCTGCTAACTCGGCATATTTGCATAAAACGAGGGGTTGCTGTGGGGTCGCAATTCCACCTCGCATCGTACGGTGGCTTGTTTCGAAGTTGGAACGAGCGAAATTTTCCATTTGAAACTTGAAATTGCCACGCCCCGCAACAATTGACCTTCCGCTGCTGAAATAACTCTCCTCGTTTATATTCGAAATAAAAAAATGGAAATTAAAAGACTTCGTGATCTAACAATAACAATGAAATCAAATTGTGTTAAGGTCAAAATGATGATGGTAATTGTTTCATTGAAGTGTTTTTATAATTTATTCTTGATCTACAAGAAAGTTTGTGTTTTTTGTTTTCTGTTTACATTTCGAACTTGGCACACGTTCACAAATCGATCCGGTTTCTCCTTCTTGTTTGCGATTGAATCGGGGCTAACTTGAAGCGTCTTAAAGTTTCGAAAGCAAGCTCCTAGCACGACTTCTGCGAACTTTGAAACTTCTTAATGAAGTTGAAATTTGTTTCGGGACTCTCTAATAGGATCTCAACCCCAAGACTTTTTCCAATTGCCTACTTTATCAACTGTAAACTTTAATTAAGGTTTTAAGCTTGTTTTTAAAAGATTTTTCCGAGATTTTGTTTGAAAGATTTTTTTATTGAATTAAATTTGGATGAAATCACTATTATCTATCTGAAGGGTTAAAGATTAAGGGTCACGAGGTCGGGTGGTGGATTCCCAGGACGAAGGTTTTGCTTTTGAAATATCGATCGCACCCTGGCGGCTGGTCTTTAATTAAACCTACGCCCCCTTGACTTCGACGCTCCCCCGAAAGCGCCGTTACTCACCCCGAATTGCGCTATTGATTTAACAGAATGCGGCAATGGACGGTAAACCCCACTCCAATCTCTATATAGACTACAATTCATGGAACTAGACTGGAAGGAGGGGGAGATAATTGAAGGACACCACAATTTAAATAGGACATTTGTCACTCCATTAAGCATTATTAGATAAGTTTAGAATAAAAAATGTTTATTTACACGATAAATGGAGTTATTGAGAATTTACTTTGATAACTTGGATTGATTCCAAAATGGAATGGGGACGACATCTATGTTGGTTATAAATGTAAACAGGAATCGGTGGCTGGATCACTCGACTAACTAGATACTAGAAACAAGGTTCAATGACTGCGAACGCGAGATCGTTTTGCGGATATTTCTAGACGAGGTTGAGTTCTTTTTCTTTCCTTTTTTTATTCGTGGCGTGGTTGTTTGCGAAGGATACTACTTCTTTAACTTGGCCGACGGCCAAAAAGGAATTTCAACGATTTAATTTGAATAAATAATCCTTAATTTGTATAAAATTAAATGAAAGTAATTATGAAATTTAATGAGAAGGAATAATAAATCGCCGATAATAATTAATAAATAGCCGGATTTGGCAAGATGTCAGATGCCACGAATCTTATCGGGATTGTTTACTCGTTTTACTGCGGACCGGTCTAAATGAAAGTCCAAACAGATTGCTCTAATAGCGGCGCTATCAGCATTCCGGATCGAGAGAGTAAACATACGCGCGTTGGGCAACAACTCGCTCTCCGCGGTCGTGTTTGTGAAGATAACTTCAAAATTTATTTAAACGAATTAGATTTTATCTGTAAACATTTGTGCATTTAGGATAAGTAAATAAAGTGTGAATTAAATTAAACTGCTACTTTAGAATCAATTCACACTCACCGTATCTGAACGAGAAAGGTGCTTTTATTTATTTCAAGGTTAAATGAAGGTTAAATTGATACAAATTCGATTATTTAAAATTCACAAACTAAATATCTTTTAAACATAACCAAAGTTTTATCAAACAGAATATAAGAAGAAGCTACACTTTTTTTTGCCAATTGACTTCAAAGGTACAACAACATCTACATTTGCTTGCTTTCAATTTGGATCGTATGACGTGTATTGAAGTATTTGCCCTGGTTCACGAAGGACTGGGCTCTTTGACACTTACCGGTGCGACACTCCTACTTCTCAATCCTTCTTCCTAAATGTCAGCCTTCTTAATCAACCTGGAGTAATTTCAATTAACGCTGATAGTCGCCGTTTACTCTCCATCCTATATGCTCGCTATATCGTGGATTTATTGTGGTTGTAATAGATTTTAACAGATCTTATTAGAAAATCAATTGTAGAATTTGGGAATCTGTTCAACTAGAAAAATAGCGTGTTTTGATACTTTGTGCTTAACCGAATTCTGGATGTTATTAGTGGTAATATATTTCAACAGGTGGCGCTATGCAGGTATCCATATCTAACAATATAACTAATTTAAAAATTATATTGTAATCTTAGAAACGAATAAGCTGATATTTTCTCTTGAAGGTTAAATGAAGGTTAGTTAAAGTTGTTAATACTTTTACCAGCTAAAAAAATAATAAATCGGACCGCAAAACAAACTGGTTGTAAACAATCTGTTAAAACTATAAAAAGTATGGAAAAGAATACAAAAAAAAAATTAAAAACGTAAAAAAGTGAAACCTTGTTTACAGGCTGAACGCTGGTTAGCAATTCGAAACCAGGTGTAACAGACACCTCAAGGTCTGTCTACTTTTCGACATTGCTCTTTCTATACCGACGGTGACTGGTGCGTAATTCGACGCCAAACAGGAATAGAATCTCGAAAATCATTAGTACAAAACAAAAATAACTCATCGTGTGTGTGGTAAAACCGATAAAACAAGATATCGATCGTGTATTTTTATTTTAATAAAAATACGGCGACATCTGGCGGCCTTCATTTCGCATTCCGCGTTCTCCAACAAACGATAACGACGTAAATTCTCCTCTCATTATTAATAATTGGATGACTTGCCAGCTCGAATCATTTCCCATTCAACTAAATTCTCTCACTCAAATATTATAATTTTAATAAAGCACTCTTCGACCTTGAGGCAACTTAAAGTGGATCGTTTCGTTAAATACAGAAACTATCTCTTCTCGTGTTACTCTACCTGTTCCGCTACCTGCAAACTTTGTCCTTCTTCGAAACGATTATTTTTGGATATTGATGTGTTATAGTTTATTTAATTTTTCTTTTAAACCGGTTATAAAATTCTTGAGATGATACGGTACTGAAACGGACAAAAGTGAGAAACGACGATTAGGGTCACAATCGTAACGGTTTGAGAGTCTTTAGAAAACCACCAGATGGTGGACGAGTCGAGATTTGACGAGCCGCTAATGGGTATCGACTCCTCTGACAGTTAACCAGATGAGAATCGAAAATAACGATGGGATAGATAATTAGATACCATCTCTATTCAACTACTTATAGCTTTCAGGAGTTGTAAATAAATATTTATAATAATAAAGTTTTTAACTATGGATTAGACATCGTCGTTGTCGTCGGCGTCGATGTGGGCGTCGGATCTATTTAGGACGTCCCGGCCATTTGTTTACATCACCCAACTCCGACGACGGACTGCATTAATATTAATAAGCTGGCATTTCGACGGAAAGTAAATGTCAGCAGCTCTAGCTCTCTCTCCGTTCTCGTTTAAGAACAAATTAGAAAGAGGGAACAACTTTGGCTAACAAAGATATATCATATAATATATTCCTATCGCGGTTTCAGTTGACGTCACGCTTAATCAAAATTGCGGTAGCCTTTCCGGGGACGTTTTTATTCCAAAATTAACATAAAAGTACTTAAATTTTTTTTTCATGTTGAAATCGTTCGAATAACAATAACAATCGTTCCTTTTATCTTTTTGAGACTTTCAACACGCTACGATCAAATAAAAGGGGGCGACGCAGTCGACCTTCTTTAATATGAAAGACTCGAAGGTATAGTGTGTTTGTATAAGATTCTTTTGGTCCACTGGGGCCGTCGTCAGAGGGCGCGCGCGCGGAAGCAGATGTCGACCAAAGAGGGCCATTCAGAGTGTACGTAAAAGGTCACGGAGCCTGCTGGTCGAAGGGGCAGGTGACGTCGGGATCCGGTTTCGAAGGGAAAAGGGGAATGTTCTCGCCAAGGAATGTCGGTCCCCATTAAATTTTACTTTGTCGACAGGTGGCG